CCCCAGTGTCACAGCGGACTTACAACGCTAGAATCCGTGTTTCAATACCCGTGGTGGGCAGAGCACAGATAGTCCATTGTGTAGCTTTGTTCTTAACTTCAAACAAACAAACAAAGATTAGCCTTAGCCTCCCAGTGGCACAGCGGTATGTCTGCGGACTTACAACGCTAGAATCCGGGTTTCAATACCCGTGGTGGGCAGAGCACAGATAGTCCATTGTGTAGCTTTGTGCTTAACTTCAAACAAACAAACAAAGATTAGCCTTAAAACCTGTTCTGTGATCTTTTGTTTTGAACGTAATATAATTCATCTCCTACGAAAAGTTTAAATTCCCCGTTTTAAGTGAACTGTAAATCATAATTCTTGGGTGGAGAATAGACTTATTATCCTTGTTATTAATGTAGACAAGGTCTGAATGAGTGAGAGTAAGTCTGCTGAACTTGAAAACGTTTATTTGGTCTAAAAGAGTTTTATTTTATATGGCATTAAACACAAATATTTGGTTACTAAGTTGGAAATGTTCCACGAAGAATGTATTTCTTAAAACGTTCCAACGTACCTGTAGGCTTGCTATACCACATCCAATACCCAACAACAGCGTGCTCTCCGCGCGAATAAACTCTTCCAGCTTCTCCAAACACCCCTGAAAATAAATATATTGTTACCAAAACGTATATATATATTGATTTAAATAAGTATATTTAAAGCCTTCTAATTTATAAAGCTAAGCTGAAACTCAACGAAATAAGTTCTGCATACAAACGATTAATTATTAAATAAACTAGATTATTATGATTTCAGTTATCAGAAACACTTTTTTTTAAATATTGCTTTTTAATACAAGAATTACTATGTTTTATTTTGTTTTTATATCATAACACTAAATACCGCACTTCTTATTATTACGTATTCTTAGAACCCCAACCACTGTCTGCTTTTAGATTTGAATGCTAACATATACGTGTTTGAAGCCATCTTGTTATTGATCCATGTATATCAAGTTACATTAGAATAAATTCATATACTACTTTCGATATTTAGTTTGTTTGTTTTTTAATGGGAAAAATTTATATTGGCTCTATTTTCAACATAACCCTTAAGGCTATGTGTGGATAAATATTATGAATTAATCTGTTTAGTTGTTTTTTACTTATAAAATACGTTTGCCCGTATAAAGTATCATTTTTGGAAATCAATTTTTACTTTGAATTTTTTAATGTTTTGCATTCGTTATGTTGATATGCATATGTGTTAGTTAGTTTACGTGAACGATAAGTCAAGATTTGAACCAAATATCTTTTTGAATATGTCTGATGTAAAGATTTCAAAATTAGAAGACGAACCCGTAATTGTTTTTATGATTCATCTTACATTAAAAAAGTTCATTATTGTTTGTTATTAAGTGTTTTAAAGAAGTTTGTGTTATTGCTGGGGTTTTATTGTACATTTTATGCTGTTAATGTTATTGTTAAGATACTTTAAAATCGGTCTTGTTGTAATTTATTAAAACTAACAAAAGCATTATAGTCGTACCTACGACAGTAAAAAGGCTTATATTCCTCAAGGCGTTTTCATGAAATAAAGGAAAAAAATTGGCAGTGTTGATACCATTATAAACGTATCTACGACAGTAAAAAAGGCTTAACTTACTCAAGGCGTTTTTATGAAAATCAAGGAAAAGATTAACAGGTGTTGATACCATTATAGACGTACCTACGATAGTAAAAAAAGGCTTAAATTTCCCAAGGAGTTTTTATGAAAATCAAGGAAAAGATTGACAGGTGTTGATACCAATTTAGATCTCATTGTTACTCCATATATTTAATCACACATTGTGCTATTAAACACAAAATGCGACTCCTGTTAAAACACCATAATAATATTTGAAACACATGCTTCGAAAATGTTATACTTTTATTATCTCTTTGGCAGATTAAATAGTTGTTATATCTCCTTATTTGGAATATTTGTGTAAAGTTATTCTACATAAAACTCCTTATGTGGAATATTTGTGTAAAGTTATTCTACATCAAAACTCCTTATGTGGAATATTTGTGTAAAGTTATTCTACATCAAAACTCCTTATGTGGAATATTTGTGTAAAGTTATTCTACATAAAACTCCTTATGTGGAATATTTGTGTAAAGTTATTCTACATCAAAACTCATGTGGAATATTTGTGTAAAGTTATTCTACATCAAAACATGCACAGAAACCTATTTGAAACGTATCTGACTTTAGGTCTTTCATTTCATTAGTGAAGAAAAAGCTGCCTTTAACGTTATGACTGAATTGTTATAATTATTCTATGCAAAATCCTGCTAATTAAGTATTAATATGAGATACAGAGAGCTTAAAGGTATCGCTCTTTACGTACCCTGGGAACTACCTGAGTTACTTCCAAATGGTTTAATAATAAGCTATTCTTCTTGTGTTAACAACCAATCCTTTTCAAGTTTTCTAAATCAAATAAATCAAACGTATTTTCTCCAATTTTTTTAGGAAATGATGTTTTATTTTTGTTTAGTACTATTTATATTTTACTCTTAATAGGTTATAATCTGATTTGTGCATTAGTGTTACCACTTTTCTTTTATCAGGCTTAATTATTTATATTTTACTATTAATACGTTATAATCTGATTTGTGCATTAGTGTTACCACTTTTCTTTTATCAGGCTTAATTATTTATATTTTACTCTTAATACGTTATAATCTGATTT